ACCAAATAATGTTCTTTTTAGCAGCATCATATGACCCCTTTAACAGGGACGTGCAAGCACAAACAAATTACACCCATACTGGCTTCCCTTCATTGGCTTCCAGTTCGTTTTAGAATTGATTTTAAGGTTTTAGTTTTAGTTTATAAGTCATTTAATGGACTGGCACCAAGTTACCTTTCTGATTTAATACAACCTCTCTGGCATTTAATTCCGTATGAGAGCTGTTTTATGTATTTTGTTAGTGTTAATATCTGTTATTTTTGCGGTGTGTAAAATTGTTTTATTTTGATTACGCTTGTACAGCACTTTGGTGAACAATTGTTGTTTTAAAAAAGTGCTCTATAAATAAACTTTGATTTGATTTGATTACTTAATAGGGCCTTTCGCACCGCGGGAACCTTTTCATAGTACCAGAACTGTACTGGGAAATAGTTCGCGCAAAATCGTCCCATTACTTTAGTACTGTACATTTAGTTCTGGAACTAAAGCTGTGTGAAAATCCCTAATAATAACAATGCAACCAGCAAATACATTAATTTATAAAGATGAGTCTAAGCTAGCTTGTTTTCATATTGCACAGGCTTAAATGTAAAAATCTTAATTATCACAGATAGTTAAATTGTGGTTCTCATAGGAAATCCATCCTGTTTCCATTTAATTTCACCCATTTTTTCCATTTCCTCTCACTCTACCTTCATAAAAGTAAATAAAAAATAATAATAAAACAATAAATATTTAAATACCTTAAACAAAATGGGAAAAAACCCTCAATATGCTGTGGCTCTGTAGTTCAGTGTTTGCTTCACCTCTCTCCTCAGGAAGTGAAACGAGGGCTTCCAGAAAAAACAAATTATTGAAAGGTGGTATTGACTGATGCAGCTATTAAGAAAAAAAGGTTGCAAGGCCTTGTGGGAATGATGGTTTAGTTAAAAAGACCCTGATATAAAAGGATAAAGTGAAATATTATGGTTTGAGCTGAAGGCTCAGGAGAGAGGTTTCAGGAGAGATGCAGGGGATAAAATAGAGTTCAGTCTGTGCTTTAGAGGCCACCAGACAAGCAGGGAACGAGGGATGACTTTGTCCTCATTCTAGCCTCTCTCTGTTCTCCTTTGCACACTGCACAATTGGATGTGACAAGGCCAGCGCAGGGACAGGAACTCACACTGCTACTGAACCACCCCCCATACACACTAAATATGCACATGTCAGCAAACATATAAAATGAATGAGTACCCGAGGCTGAAAAATATCAAAGAGACAAAAAACAATGAAGTGATCTCGCATTACTTCCTTGTATCTCCATCTCTCTCTCTCATGCACACAGAGAGTTTAGGGGATTTGTGTAACTTTGCTGTCTGGCCAGCAGATGAGATTGTGGGCCAGAACGGGCTGTTTCCAACATTGTGATTATGCTATTGCCATGGGGTCTGAAGGCTGGCCTCTTCTGCTGCAGGTTACACTGTCCTTGCTGTGACACCGTTATATAAAAACACACTGACACACCTCACACACGCTCAGTGCTGTCAGAACAAACAAACACATACCCAGACAAACAGGACACATCAAGTACCTGTCCTAAACACAGCATTAGTGCTGTGCACATTACAGCACAAACCCCTAAAAACAAAATGGCACATCAAATAAAGGTTTTGGAAAGAGTTTTGCTTTTCAAAGACACTCACCTGCAGAGAGGAAAGTCCAACCCTCTCGTGGAATGAACATGGCACGTGGGTGGACAGTCACTACGTCAGAGATCTTTCCTATACATAACAAACACAAACATCAGTAACATCACAATAAACACAATCATACTGATTCAGCAGTATTACACAATTTACAATATAGTATCACAGTATTTCTGTTTTAAATCTTGACTGAAACATTATAAAAACAAATTAAGCTCCAAAATCAGATAAAGCAATCAATGCCGTGGTGCCTAAATTCACTTGTAGCATTTAACACTAGAACCGCCACGGGGTAAATTTTACCCGTGGCTGTTTTTCAAATGTACATAACAGATTTAAAATAACACATTCAAGTCTCCCAGTCATTGACTTTTACTAAAATTATGTAATTTACAATCCAGTGTTGTTAAAAATTATTTAGATAAAACCAGATCAAAAAACGGGGCATTTATACCTATAAGCGCCAGCGGGTCAAATTTACCCACCTATATAATGCATGTATTTTCGCGCTGTCATTTCATTGCCGCTTATGTTTTAACATTGTACATTTCTAGGCAACGCCTTTCACTCACTGATTTAGCAGTTATCAGTTTCATAAATAAAGTCAAAATTACTAAAAAAAGACGATTTATGGAAGGTAGGTATTAGAAACACTAAATGCCATGAGTGATGGAGAGTCTGATGGTAAGTTATGCGTCCTGGGTCGTCTCAGCATCTGACGGCTCATCTGACAATGATCCAGATATCATATTTACATGTTTTAGCCTAACGTTACTCTAATTGGTCAAACTTTGGTTTAATTATTTATTTTTTGTTAATTTTATTGTTTATCGTTTGCTACTGTGTTGCTATTCTAGTCTGGCCGTTTCCAAATGGCAGAAAACCATTTTTTTATTATTTTTTATTACATTTTTTCAAATGTCCCTAAGCATTCAACCTTAATCCCAATGAAGACAAAACCATTCCTTTTCTGGTTGTCATACACTCATTAATAGGGATGCTCCGATCCGCCTTTTTCGCCTCCGATACCGATTCCGATACCTAGGGTTCGGTATTGGCCGAT